AGGTGCACAGGAGAGGAAGCTGGGCAGCCTTCCAGGCTGTCACTCCTCCCCCAGGATGCAGAGGCTGGCCTTGCAGCCCTCATTCTCTTGGGGTCCTACAGCATCCACACAGCCACCTCAGGCTCTTAAGGGACTCTCCAACGTGAGCTGAGAGATGCAGGACAGAGGTAGGCCTGGAGATGTACACCTGTATAAAAGCAGATTTGGGACAAGTGTGTCAAATGCCTACAGTCAAGTTCTCTGAGTAGGCCAGTTGGTTATCATGAATGGTGTGTTTGGCAGTCTCTCCTAACTTTGCATCTTGAGGAACTATACATGAAGCGTCCTCTGGAATCAAGGGCAGTTGTGTTCTGTTAGAAACACCTCCACACTCAGCACCCCTACCTTGTTGGTTGTATGCACCTAACAAAGTACATAGGGATTTTTTTTAACTGGAAGACCTAAGAAGATTGAGGACATTTTTGCAGGTGCCCTAGACACATGAGACAATGGACAAATGAAAGATAGAGCACAAGCTCATTGACTTTATGCAAAGCCCTGGGAACCTCAGACCCATTGCTGTATATCCATCCCATATACCTTAAGCCTTATCCTGAAAGCTGGCATTTTAAAGGCTGAAAACATAAATTAAGCATAAAGTCTATGTAAAATAAATAAGCAAATGAAGATTACACACAGAAACTTCAACTGGCATGGATAAGAACAGAGAGGTTAAGACTCTGACCCATCACATTTTGATGATGGTGGGGAGATGTTCAAGTTTAGGGGGACTGCAGAGATCAGTAAGTTTCTAAAACAGTTAAATTATTTCCAGAGCTTATTGTTATCATGCCTTAAAGTCTGAGAAAACTCATGAATACCAGATAGTTCAGGTGGGAAGGGGATTTGGCTTGGGTAAACTTGGGACAAATCTCTTTTTCTATGAAAAATTTTCAGTTCTCAGTTTGTGAGTATCTGCACACTCACTACCCACACTTGAAGGGCTTGGGGTTGCTGTAGGAACCATTTCTTCGTTTCTTTGGCCTGCCTGGTCACTAAGAAGTTTGTGGAGGGAATCTGTGCTGAGGCTTGGCTTATGGAAGTTCCAATTTAATGGAGAGTTTCCCCTCAATTCCTGAGTTATATTGTGAGGGGGTGCCAGGGAACGAAGATATTTTTACCAAAATCCCCAAATTCCTGTGCTCAGGATTGATACACATGTACTTAAATCTGTGCATATGTGTAATATGAAAACGAATTTGGCATTATATTATATTGTATTATAAAATTAATAGGATAGGCATTGTAGTTAGTTATTTAAAATAAAATATAAAATTAAGGAATTTAAAATAATTTTATTTACTTATCCAGGATCATAAGAATTTAAAAAAAAATCACATGTGATAAAGCATTTAGTTCTCTGTGGGGGGTATGTAAGCTGCAAGAAGGAGATCCGTGTTATTTTTTCCTTTTCCAAGCATATTTTATTGAATAGTCAATAAATCCTTGTTGAATAGATTGAGTTTGACAAGGCTGAACAATAACTAATCATTTCAAGATTCAAGCAAAAAAAAAAAATCTGAGAGCATTTTCTTCAGTAATGAAGGTTATTTGACATCATTTAATAGCTAAATTGGATTCAGTTTCTTCCCTACAAAACTGGTTTTCTTGCTTGAAATATGACTAGAACTTTGAAAAACATACAATATGCTGATGAGAAACAAATTTTAAATTGAACAGATTAGCCGTTTTATTTGTGGTGTTCGCATGATGAAATCACTGCCATGTTCTGTTCTGGGTCAAAGTTGTAGGGTCTTGTAATAAGCCCCTCCTGTTGCATTAGCTGTCACTGGCTCCTCCTGGCTTCTCTCCAGCAGGGTTTGCTTGATGTGGGATTCTGCTCGGAACCCGATTGTGTAAGATGAAAGCTTCAGAGCTTTTAAGTGCACAACTCAACAACTTTCCAGACATAGCAGTCCCATGACACAATTTAACACATCCTGATGTTTCCTCTTCTATTCCATTCTATTCCACTCTATACCATTTCTGGTCATGACCTAACAAATCAACTGCAGTGTTAAACAAAACAAAATAAAACAAAACAAAACACCCCTGAAGCCAGAGGCACAATAAACCATTGGAGTAGCCTAGGAATTCCGGAAACAAACCCACACATGGAAGGATCATTGATTTAGGAGAACAAAAGTGCCACAGAAAGCATGGGCATTTGCGTATCCATGTAGAAAGAAATGAGCATTAATTCTCCAAATGTGTATGTATCTAGCTGACGGATCTGGCTGAGGTGGCTGCAGCAGTATCACACCCAGATCTGCTGTGCACAGCGGGCAGCCACCATCCACAGTCTAATGAGCACCTGGACTGTATGTGGCTGGTCCAGTGACATGTAAAACACCATATTTGAAAAACATCCTGTAGAAAAATAATACAACAAACCATCTCATTAATGATTTTTAAAAAGACAGAACACAGTTGATTTACTTTGTTTCTAGCTTTCTTATTGCTCATAGAATGTCTCGTGTGTCGATCCCAACTCTTCTGGGTGTTGTTTCGGTTTTCTGTGCTTAGGATTTCTCAATTGCTGCTGTTTGTTTTCTTTCAGGACCAAGATGGGTACTTTCATATCAAATCTTATTTTTATTTTCATCTATGGCAGTTCTCTCTTGGCTTCTTTGCAGTTATACCTGCAGTGGAACTAGCAGCCTAAAGTCAGCGAGATCAGTCCTCCTACTCCGACAGCCTATGGGCTTCTGGTTCTACCCTGTTAACAAAACATGTGCGAGGCCAGCCACAGCAAGGCCTCATGAACCACATGCTATCCAACCCCACACAGAGGGGAAGCTCTCAGCATCTGTAATTCCTGTTGGAACGCTTCCCCTTCTCATGTACTCATGGGCTCATGGGCTCATGGGCTCCTGTACTCTGGCACAGTGACTGTGGGGACATGTGAGCCTCATTAGCAATTTTATATGGATTATATGCTGCAATGATATTTTGAATGTATTGGGTTACATAGATGTTAAAATTAATTTTATTGTTGAAATGTAGCTACTAAACGTTTTAGAATTACATATGTGACTTTCTTTTTCTGTCTTGCTGACCAGTGTTCTAGATGATAGAATACATAAATGACCTCAGGGTAAGCAGTGACTTCTTCAACAAGATGTAGAAATTACTAACACGATGACAAGGATCTAAGAGTTGAACTTGTTAAAATGAAGAACTTCTGTTTCTCAAAGCACACCATTAAAATCACAGAAGACAAGCTGCAGGGGAACAAAGTGGGGACTTTGCCATGCATATCAGCAAGGAGTTACATCCAACATATAGCAACAAGAAATAGGCTAAAATAATAGGAAAAAACCCAGATACTTCATCGAAGAGCACATTCAAGTGGCTCAGTCTTAACTATCAAGGGAATGCAAAATCAAGCCACAATCTAGTACCACTATACACTCACCAGAAAGGCTACAAATCTGAAAGGCTGTCAAATTGTGGTTGAATGTATCAAATACTGGAATTCTCATGAACTGTTGTGGGTGGATATTGGTACAACAGCTTTGGAAAATTGTTTCACAGTATCTGTTAAACCTGCATATGCATGTGACTTCTGAGCTGGCATTTCCACTTCTGGGTGTATGCCCTACAGAAATGCATACATATGTTTACAAGTGTCTGCAGCTAACAGCATTAACTGTTATGGCCTCAAACTCAAAATAACCTAATTCCCATCCACAACAAGAATGAAAACTAGATTGTGGTGGAGTCGTGGGATGGAATACTATGCACCACTGAATACAGATTGACTGTGTGCAGCAGCATGGATATATCACTGTCCTGAAGGTTGAGTAAAAGAATTCATAGGCCATGGAACTCATGCCCGGTGCCTCCCTTCCTGTTCAGTTCAACAAGTTGAGACTCTGTGAATTCATGCAGATGGGAGTTGGGAGGAGCAGTTGAGGGAGGCAGGGCACCGTGGGGTGAGGGATCTGGCACTGGTGGTGCTGTGTGCTTGCTTCCTTCATTATCCGAACAGTCCATTTCCATCAGCATGCTTGTTAAGCAACCATAACATCTGCATCTTCAGAATCCTCACTTAAAACAAGATTTTAATTTTATTTAAAAGAGTTACACAGAAAGAAGGAGAAACAGAGAGAGCTTTTATCCTCTGGCTCATTCCCCAAATGGCAGCAACAGCCTGGGCTGAGCCAATCCAGATCCAGGAGCCTGGAGATTCTTTGTGGTCTCCCAAGTGGGCACAGGGGCCCAAGGACTTTAGCCCTTGTCTGCTGCTTTCCCGGACCATTAGCAGGGAGCAGGATGGGAAGTGGAATAGCTGGGACTCAAACTGGCACCCAGATAGGATTCAGGCATGACAGATATTTAACTTGTTACACCACATAGCCAGCCCCAGAAACTTTACTTTTAATTAGTCTCCATTAGGAGAGAGCTTGGTTTAAAAACCTCCTGCAAGTAATTTACACATGGAGCCAAGGTTGGGCACCTGAGCACTGATGGTGGCAAGTGGCACTTCTGAGACCTGCATGCTTAAGTGTGCCCGTCATTGCTGGGCTAGGCAGCACCTGACTTACTGGCTTCATTTAAGAGACACTGATGTCGAGGAGTAGATCTTGGTGACGCAAGGAGTTAGAGTTGAATTCCTTGGAAACCAGACATGGACTGAAACTAGCGAGATTAGGAAATGTGTGCTCCATTGAAGACCTGCTGCCTTCATGACAATTCCAGACTTTATGCTCCTTCAAGGGAAGCTGTGAAATTCCTGACTTTTCAATGTTGATTTGAGTTATTTTAACCCACTACACATGTCAAACCAAACATGATAGGTCTAATCATTAGATTCTAACCGAGACTTCATGTTTTACAGCTGAAAGGAAATTTATGGTTATAATTGCATAGCATATTAATTGGGTTTTCTTTTCCTTCTGCAGGGATGCTGAGAAAGTAAACACAACATTTAAAAATATATATATATTATATATATATATAAATAAATAAAGTACTTGGGCTCCTTGATAGAAAACCATCAAGCAACACTTCAGGTAATTATCATTACGTGTATTTTATTTATCATTTCCATTTTCCCCTTTATTGTGTTCTCCTAGCTGTAATCCTGAACAGTTGTATCCATGACTTAAGGTGGCTTCCATGGCATTCTTTGTCACGTTCTGGGGAGGAGCTGTGTTTAACCAAGGCAACTGCACACTCCTCCCTGGGAAGCATTGGAGATTCACAGTCTCTGTTTTGGTCAGGAAGACTCTAGGGACAGGCCATTAGACAGTGCAGGATGGGCCCAGAGCTTCCTGTCTCCTGCCCAACACTGCTCTTCCAGAACAAAGGGGAGGAGCCTGCTATGCCACGCAGCTTCCAGTACCTTGGTTATAAAGAGGAACTTTCACATCCACATTATTTCAGAATCATAAAAAGTGACAAAGACATTAGCGGGTTTGGTCTTCTAAGAGCTGTTCACACATGCTGATGTCTGGAAAGAAACAACCTTGTGAGGCACAGGGAAGGCAAGTTCTTGGCCTCAAGCGCCTACACTTAGGTTGGGCCGCATGTTCCCCTTCTGCAAGTCACTTCACTCTGGAGGGGTGACTTGCTGGTGATATTGGTGATGTGAGGGCTAAATGAGTGGATGCTTGTGGGTGAAACTACAACCTGTTACACAGTTCTCACTCATCATTTTAAACACGTCATTTAATTTTTACAAAAACCATTTGGCTTTCATCTGTGCAAAGGTGGCGGAATTGCTCTTAATTTTCAATTACAAAACCAGTTGTCAGTGCCGCCGGTGTCTGCACCCTGTCATTCCTCTGCACACATTGTGTCTGGCTTCCATGGGGTCTCCCCCTGCAACCCTGCCACCTCTAACAACAGAGCTTGTTGTCAACCCCTAACCCCTAACCCTTAACCCTAAGGCACAGCCTGTGCTTAGCCTGCGGTTTTCTGTACCTTCTTCCCGAGGCCAGTCACAGATGTATTCTCTCTGCCTGATGTGTGGTGGGGTGACGATGGCAGCGTGTCTCTGAGGAGCCAGCTGCAGAGTCCCTACTTGGTCTAACAGAGAAGGCACTTTCTCTGGTGTGGAGTAGGTGCACTGGACCTATGAGGGTTTCTCCTGGGCCGTGCCACACTGGGAGCCACACAGCCCAGACAGATCATGGCTCCCAGAGTTCTGGGATATCTGGAGTGCAGATCCCCCCTGAGATCCTGTGGATAGGCCCACCTCAACAGTGAAGGGACCCTGGCCAGGTGACCCTGGGGGTCCAAGTCCTGAGCCTAGCCCTGTCTCTATGCTCAGTTCTGTCCTGCTCGGTGGGCATCTGGTATACACGTGTGACACCAAATTCTACAGATCTCTTCTGGGCTCCCGTCTTCCTCTCCCGTTCATCTCCTTTTGATCACTCCTAGGCTTAGGAATATATCGTGCTGTAGCTTTATAGGAGGACAGATCTGGTAAGGGAACCATATAGGCCCTGGAGGTGGGCTCAGGGCTGTTGGGCAGAGAATTCTGGGGCTCCAGGCACACCTGGCAAGTCTAGAAAGGGGGCATGGGGTATGGATGGACATGTTCTGCAGGACCTATGGCCTCCTTGTCCCATTAGGAAGTATGGCCACAGGAGGGCCAGGGTGGGTTCTTTTATTTTATTATTGTTTTTATTGGAAAGACAGATGTACAGAGAGAAGGAGATACACAAACAGAAGGATCTTCCATCTGCTGATTCACTCCTCAAGTAGCCACAATGGCCAGAGCTGAGCCAATCTGAAGCGAGGGGGCAAGTGCAGGTCCTGAAGAGCCATCCTCTGTTGCTTTCCCAGGCCACAAGCAGGGAGTTGGATGGGAAGTGGAGCAGCTGGGATTAGAACTAGTGCCCATATGAGATTCTGGCATGTGCAAGGCGAGGACTTTAGTTGCTAGGCCACCGTGCCAGAGCCCCTGAGAGGGTTCTGTTAAATGAAGGATAGAACTTAAATGTGGGCACTACTCTTTGGGCTCCAGCTCCGAGTTGTGGATGCAGAGTTGGTGTTCCAGAATTGTTGAATATCTAAAAGCTGTCCCTCTTCTATGGAGCTCCTCCACAGATGTTCACTGGACAGTGTGATGGTCGAAATTACTGCGATCCCATCAGAAGTCAAATGAGTGACTTTCCCAATCTTGTGGGGCTTCCTGGGAAAGGTCCTTCTCCAGGACCAAAGGGCTTGAGTGAGGCTAGGAAGGCTCCCCTGGGGGTTGTGAAGAGACTTCACCTGAGTTCTGAGTTGTATCTTTCCTGTGTGTATTCTGGGTTAGGAGTATCTGGGCTGAACATCCTAAAACTCTGGTTCGCTTTGCTTGGGGTTTCCTGTCCTCTAGAGCTGCCTGAAGACACTGGTGTGTCAGCCTTACCAGTGTGAGCTGGGAGTGCCCTTCTGCTGAGGGCCTGCTCAGCTCTGGCTCCCATGCCCTTCTTCTCCAGGCCCACCCAGGCCTTTCTAACAACATTTAGACTCAGGATTCGAGGTGGCATGTGTGGCAGCTATATTCTCTGTATAAAAGCAGTTGAGGAAGTATAGCAAGAAGAAATTGTGAGAAAGTTTAGGGTGTTCTAGACCCCATGTCAGGATCAGTAGCAGAGTAACCAGAAAATCCCCCTTGTGTAAGTGGTCCCTGGGGTGGGCTTGTGGGAGGAGGTGAACATGTGCCAGACAGGGCATCAGCTGCTTCAGAAGGTTCCCAGAAAAACACAGTGGAAAGGATGAGTTCGTTTTGGTGCAAAATTTTTATAAATATTTGAATGGAAAAATAAAAAGGCTGTACATGAATTTCAGAAATGTCTTTGCACCAAAATAAACTCATGCTTTTCATTCCATTGATTTCCCATGAACTTTAAGAGCACACTCACCTTCCAGCCCGGCATTTTCTCTCCTTTGTGTGGTCTGGTTTCTTACGAGGCAAACACCAGAGAATGAAGTAAGTCTTCCATAACTGCGTATCAGCAAAAGCTGAGAATATGTTTGTTTGGAAACAACACACATATGAAATTTGAAAACTTGGAGAAACTCTCATTTTTAAATTATATGTTTTTCAAACAATGTGTCCAGGCCTTTTCCCTGCCATATATATTTATAGGCCAGATATTTCTAAGTTGAAACTCATAGATAGATTTAATCATCAGTGCAAAAAAAAAGTATAAGTGAAATGACGAAAGATTGAACACAAAGTATTCTTTACATCGCAGACTTTGCAGACCCACTAGCGCTGTTCAGATTCAGTTTCTCCGTCATCCTCACCTCTACTTTTACCCCCATCCCCACCTCCTTGGACAATGTATATCTCTCTTTAAAAGCATTTTCTTACTAGATAGGGACTAGCCAGGAATGATGGACTCTTTCAGGTTTGGGATCTTAGGGTTTGTCTCCTCCTGGTGAATACGCAGGATGGCCCTTGGCAGAAGGAGCTCCCTGGCCGAGAAGGAGTTGCTCATGGGAGAGACAGTGCCCCAAGCCTTATGCCCGTGACCTCAGGTCAGAGGAGATCTTGTTGCTGGTTCTAGCTTTTCTAGTGTTGCAGAGTGGAGGAAGAGAGCAGTTGGGAGTGTGTCGCTGGGGCTGTCTGTTGATCTGCCCCCTTCGCATCTCCCTGTCCTCCCGTGTAGTGCTCACACCCACTCACCCCACCCTCGCTGAGGTGACTAGCCTCTTGGTTATCTCGCTCTTCTCCAAGGGGTGCTGCCTTCTGTGGGGGCAGCATGCTGTGCAACAGGAAGCCCTGCCTATAGACGTTACGCAGTCATGCATTTTGAAATACTGAAATCGGGGGCTTGCTTCATCGGTATGCCCCAGTCACCCCTAAAAGTGATTTGACTTCCTCTCGCCCCATGGGTGAAATAGGTGTTCCAGATTCCTGCTAATCAGGATGCAGCCTCATGCCCTTCTCTGAGTCTTCCTCTCTTTCATAAAAACGGCGACTCTGCCTGGGATGGGTTCTCTGATGTAGGAAATTCTGCCACCCCTGAGGGTAAGCGTTACCTGTCAGGTGACAGTCATTCTCTCAACTCTCCCCAACGGTGCTTGCCTGGGTGAACTGAACACCAGTGAGGGCAGGTGCCTCGAAGGCTGGGGAAGGCAGATGGTGCCTGCAGCTTCTCCAGCACTGGCTGTGTGCCAGCTTTTACCCTTAGTGGTTTGGACATAGGCCTTATTCAATCCCAAGCTAGCCTTACAAGATAGGTATTACTGTACCTACTTACAGATGAGGAAATTGAGGATTAGAAAATGTCACTTACCCTTTCGCACATATCAGGAGTGAAGTCAGCATTCAGATCCCTAAACCCCCCTCAGAGGCCACCAGGCCCTGAGTGCTACACTGAGGCAATGGGCTTGGGCATCCTCCCAGATGAGTGTCTTTGTTGGGAAGCTTGGGGTCAGGTGGTATCGCAGGGCAGTCTCTCCTGGCCTCGTCCCTAGCTTGGTTGACCACATTGGGTGGAAGCATGCAGACTGTGATCCCCCCAGCATGAGCGAGCTGCTGCAGCCCACCAAGATGCAGGCTGAGAGGCAGCAGGAACGCCTCCAATCCTCGCCCTGGGGAATCCTGTTCAACTTGGTGCTTTGCCTTCTTGTTTACATTAGCGTGATGACGGATTCTGTCCCACAGCTGTTGGGTCAGGAGGGTGGGATGCCTGTGCCTAATAACCCCTAAATGCAGAGTGAAGCTTTGCAGCAGGTGGAATCAGCCCCACTTCCCAGCTGAGCAAATCAGGAGTCAGGGCTATGGAGCGTCCGAGGTCATTTAGCATTAAGTGACCAGCTTGCCAACTCCAGAGCCTCAGGTGCTGCTGCAGCCTCTAGACCTTGGTAGGTACGGGCAGCTGCTCCAGGTGGCGTGTGAAGACTTGCACTGGCTTCTGTTGCTTTGCTTTTCTCTTTACATTTTTCTGGCCAGATATTGGCTGGCAGTTCCTGAGAAGGCCTTCCTGACCTCTTTTTAACAGAGGAAAGCTTTTGCTGCGGCTCGGGTGGCACACAGGAGGCACCGAGCCTGTCCCCCTGTCTTTGA